CTTTGCGAGATCTTTGTATGCTTTTGCAAGGGTCGCGACGGTAAGAGGCGGAATTGGTTTGTATTTTATCCCAGCGTTGAGAGTAGACATTCGATGCTGCATGGTACTTGTTGGTTTGCTAGCTGCATTGCAATTTGACGGAGAAGCGTTTTTTGATGTTGTTGTTGTTGGTAGAAAACCAAATAATATGCTTGAGTAGATGGCTCTTGAGTGATTCCGATTATCCAGATATTCTCGGGGGTTAATATCGTTGGTGGTGGTGGTGGTGGTGGTGGTGGTGTTGGCGTCGTTCTTGATGTCGTCGTACTCACGCAGCGACATTCTCTCAACGCATCGAATGCAAATATCGAGTCGTCATGTCTGAATGGTTTTAACCTGAGAGATTTGATTAGACGATGATTCTCGGATGATGTAAAAAAGTCGGCTGAAAACCAAGTTTTGACAATAAATCGATATTGGGTTGTCTGCAATACTCGTTTCATTTTTATTTTTTTATTTTTTTACGTTATCACAACTTTTTTTTTTTTTTTGGGCATGAAATCCTAATCCTAACGATAAATATAAATGTGCAGATTAATGTTTGCGCTATTATTATTGACTACATTTATCCGATATGAAGTTGGTTAAAAAGTATATAGAAAGAGATCGTTCGGTGAGACTTTTGAAAAAGTAATAGTGATATACTTTTAACAATTAGTATATTAAACTTTGGTATTCCATATTTTTAGGGATATCTCGTACTATATCCCGAACAATTGGAGGATATGTGGCATGTCTACAACTTGATATCCGTCGGAGATCAACTCAAGGCTACAACGATAAGGTAGTGACGTTTACTGGCATTCAAAAAGTCACTTCCCAACCACTATAAATCTAAGGTATTTTTATTTCACACACAGGCGTGTTCAAACCGAGAGTGCTACGGGATCTGTCGAATCTCACAGGGTACGAACGACTCTGACGATCGCGGTTGAAAACATTGACTTTGACTCACAAGCCGGAATACTGAGAATAAAAGGTAGAAACATAGTAGAAAACAAATATGTAAAGGTAAAATACATGTTGCATTTCGTTACCTTAACCCCGGCTTTTATCTGATCCCCTGTTTTTCTTGCAGCTCAACGCGTATCACACCATTGACCTCGAATTTGCCGATTTGCATTGGGGTCGTCACAAAGGTTTGGCCAATTTATGTTTGGTCACGCAGAATATGACCATTGTACGTCAACGTATCGAACAAGCTATTCCGAGAAAGCGGAGGGGATCAGTTACAAATCACGAAAAGGTACGGGTCATAATCGGCAAAATGACTTGTTTGTGATTCACCGCGTTGCGGAACTAACATCAAGGCAACACAACCAGGGATTACAAAAGTTTTACGAACAAGTAATGCAAGCTATTATACGGCATGTTAACTTTGACATTGTTAAAGTAATTATATTGGCAAGTCCAGGATTTACCAAGGTGAGTTGATTATGATGGCAAGTGTAGTTGATAACGGATATTTGCCTAATTCCACTCTAATGGTTTACCAAAAAAATTTTTTTTCAAGGATCAACTATTCGAGTACATATACGCGGAGGCAGTGGTAAGCATTCCTAATTTTAACCCACAAATTGAAATCAAAGTCTTAACCGTGGTCACTGTGATAACAAAGTCTATTTTCCATAATCTAGAAAAATGATGACAAAGTTCTCTTGGAAAATAAATCCAAGTTTCTGCTAATTCATTGCTCGTCTGGTCATAAACACGCTCTCCAAGAAGTTCTCCAAGATCCTGTAGTGCAAAACCAACTTGCCGATACCAAATATGCCCAAGAAATGACAACCCTTGATAAATTCTTCAAAATGTTAAATGATGACCCTGACCGTGCATTTTATGGTTGGAATCATGTGAGCAAGGCGGAAGAAAGAGGTGCTGTTGGAACTTTGATGCTTAGCGATGAGCTTTTCAGGTATGAGAGCAGCAATGTATATAAATATAATATGGCTGGAACTGAACAGCGCATTCATTTGTGTATTAACACAGATCAGCCGATATTCAAACGAGGAGAAAGTACATTCGGCTTGTTGAAAACGTTCGTAGTCATGGTGGGAAAGTGCTAGTGTTTTCTAGTATGCACGTGTCTGGTGAGCGTAAGTGTCAAAAAAATTTTTTTTAATTGAGTCGAACCATGTTTCCTTCCGTAATACTGTTAACCTGACAATATTGTTAACTCTCAATTTTAACTTAATTCTGTAATAGAACTTAATCAATTGGGGGGTGTTGCTAGCATACTTAATTTTCCATTACCAGACATAGAGGATGAAGATGAGGAAGAAGGCGACGGCGGAGGCGACAATAATGCGCAAGAGGTTAATGCAAATTAAACTACCCACAAAGAATATTTCGTAAGCTAATCAATAATAATGGTAGAACTATATTTTAATTTTGTATTTATTCGTAGGCATAGCATTGATTCGTTTTAAAATTAAAAAAAAAATGACAACATACAACTAATAAAGACAATGAAGAACCCGTTTACTTCATGAAACCATGACCAAAGCTATACCTAACCTATGAGCTTTGGCTTTGCCTTTCGCTATTCTGAACAATCGACCAAAGTCAATAACGTATATTCCCGGAAACGGACGATTATTCCAACATCAAACGTTAAGGTGTGATGGGATTTTTGCAACACCAACATGCGTTCATTAGGTTCCTATCTATTTTGCCTCGGCAAACGCAATAATTCGTTGGTTTGGAAAATATATCAATTTAATCAAGCTATAGATTGAAGCATCATTCCAATGTATTTGGAAGACAAATTTCAATAAATTATGACAACCGCAAGAAATACAAGAACGGTATATAGGCTGTGAAATGGTATTGCCCGTATGGAGGAGCTGAATCATAAGTGACTTTCGCGGTTGCGTTCTTCATTATAAGGATATGGACATGATGAGATGAGATGAGAACTGACGCGGCGCCGGTACGATTGACGCGGCCGTGATTTTATTTCAAATTTTAATTTGCCAATAAAAGAGTGTGTGAGACAGAAGGTTGAGAAAAAAGTCCCACTCGAAAGTGTATTGTCCAAAGGAATAGACGTTAGGTAATGCAACAATAGTACAAACACAAAATCGACACTAACAATAGCACGACACCTACATAGTTACATGAGGTTTCATTGAGAAAGAGGTTGAACTAATGCAAAAGTCAAGAGTTATTATTACCCAGTTCAACATAGACGCTCACGACGAGACTCTAGCTCGTGGGCGCCGTTTGTAGTCATTGCTCAAAAGAAAGGCGGTGACACGTTTTTGGTAGATTATTGCAAGATAAACGCGGTTACCGTACCAAACCTCTTCCAAACCCAATTATTTATTAAGACTATGAAATACTGCAATTTGGCTCATAATTCGTGTGCATATAATCAATCCTACCAACTCGCTATTTGTAGACTCGACAAACGCGATGAATCGGATTCTGCCGTATGATGGAGTGGATGCAACAGTTTTTCAAGGTTTATATCTTCGGAATGAGAGAGGAGAATCTAACCAGCAAAATTATAAATTGGAAATTTCTATTTGCCTTCAAAATTGTGTTTTGTTGCAACGAAGCTCGAAATGATTGTCCGCATAATTCACATAATGTCAGAGATCGCAAAGATATAAGAGTTAAAGTTGTGACAATTGAAGTTTAATTTACACTGATGGTCAAAAAAAATTGGGTAAAAGCCAACTTTTATTCCTGTTTGTTTTGTATGGAAAAAATAGCATTTGGTGAAGCTACCGCCGTTGTTTATTATAATAATTATTAACGCGTGTTTTTAGTAGTTTGTATTTATGAGCCGGTTTATAGTACTTATGGGTTGTTGAGCTCGATATATTTAAGAAGTAATCAAATTATAATGCTAGTATCGAACCTGAATCTTTATATGAAATCCATACCGACTTTATACTAGATATAACAGATTTTGGCTTGTGTGGACGTGGTGGCAATTAGTCAGTTGTTAAAAATTTACTAACGATCCACTGCATACATAACAAATCTCAACCACAGTGGTTGTGGATGCGATGGGTCTAATAATTAGTAAATTTTTAGCAACTGGCTAATTACCACGTCTTTCTTATTAAACGGTGACATAACGGATTTCATGCGACGAAAACTATACCCATAAAAGTTGAATTATTATTATGGATATGTTCTGACCCAAATCAGAACTTGACCCAGTTCGGAACTGGGTCAACCCAATTCGGAACCGTCACATGGTGATGTCT